TAGCCATACCTATAATGTGATTGGGAATTTGAGCCTGCAACCCTAATATGGAGTAACATTAGTCTTTAGTGCTAGATAGGTTGGGAGATCAGAGACCACCAGTCCTTAACTGAAAAGAGGGAACATTTTCCTTTAAGAAATGAAGAAAATTTATTCAGTGTTTGTAATTACAATAATCTTTTCCATGATGTTCTCAATATTGCTTAAAGCTGATTCTTTCCATAAGACATTTTAGAACCACCTAGCAATCCTGAGAGAACATTATAATCTACCCATATGAAATTCATATGCTTTTAAAAGCAGATGTTAAGGAGGTAAAATTTTATTTCAATAGAGCTAATGTGCCTGGATGTCTTCTTTTTCTGAAATTAAAGCAACAATTATTTCCATAAAGCACACAAAGAATGCACAATTTTACAATGAAAATGAGCCCTCTGATTGTCTCACATGCTCACCAATGGAACGGAAAATAAGTATAGCTATAAACAAGTTCTAATAGGTTGAAAGCCAATTATAAGATTTAACCTTTGTAAATATTCTATTCAAATGCCAGAGGAAAGCTGTTTTTACAAATCCTTGGCTCTAGTATTAGTGAGTTCATACAGAATTCAATAGCACATATAGGGAAGCGTTAGTTGGATAACAGCTGAATACCATTTTATAAAAATCACATCAAAAAATCATAGTATCCAAATTAAAACATTTTTCCTGTAAAGTTAGAAATACATATATGAAAACATGATACTGTTACAAATCTTTCACTTTCCAAGGAATTATCCCTTGAGTAAAACTTATACCAACTATTAATCTGATAACTTCAAAATATATGCAGTCATCAGCACATGAATTCAAATGGATATATTTGTTCATAATTCATGAATCACTTTCCCAAAAAATATTTTATTTCATTACATGAGGTTTCTAAGTCAGATCACAAGTCTAATTTAATTGCAAAATACAAAAAGATATTGATGTTAGAAGGAAAAATGGAAGTTCTTCCCCTGTCCTTATCTACAGTGGCTAAGCCTAGGAAAAATACTGGTTTTGTTTTTGTTTAAATTAGCCAAGATGGGGCCGGAGCTGTAGCGTAGTGTGTAAAGCTGCCACTTGCAGTGCCAGCATCCCATATGAATACCGGTTCGAGTCCCGGCTGCTCCACTTCCAATCCAGCTCCCTGCTATGGCCTGGGAAAGCAGTGGTAGATGGCCAAAATCCTTAGGCCCCTGAATCCATGTGGGAAGGCCCGGAAGAAGCTCCTGGCTTCAGACTGGTGCAGCTCTGCCCGTGCAGCTCCGGCCATTGGGGCCAATTGAGGAGTAAATCAGCAGATGGAAGACCTCTCTTTCTCTCTCTCTCTCTCTGCCACTCCTTTTCTCTCTCTGTACTCTTTCAAATAAATAAATAAATCTTAAAAAAAATAATTAGCCAAGATTATTGTTACCACTAGCAAGGATTTCTACGTAGCAAAGTGACATAGGCAAAAAGACTGTGGAGTTGAGAGAGAAGTGCTGAACAAGAGTCTGACAAGAATTGCAATAATACTAAAAACCACGCAGGAGCAACTAAAGGAAAACCTGTACACACACAGGCTTTTAGAACTGTGAAATAAATAGTTGTTTAGGTAGATAAGGTGATGTATTTTAAAAAATGGTAACACTCAGGCCACTAGCAAGTTGGAGACACCCTTAAGACAGGAAGGACAAAAATGAACATGGGATGTTCAAAGATCAGAAAGAAGGGTATTGCCACTGCTATCCTCACTCACTCAGCTTCAACCTGGTTGCATCCTCAGTATTAATCTCAGAACACAAACCTACTCACATCTCATTGAGACTCAGCCCCTGTCATCACTCAGGCATCTGTAAAAATGTGACCTCAGACAAGAGACACTGCCTGATCACACATCTTCTATGCCCAACCTGAACCTCACCTCCTCTCTCTGCCCAGCTCCACTGCTCTTCACGAACCCCCTAACGTCAGACACTGTTTATGTATTGTTCACTGTCTGTCCTGCCCCTATGTTAACTGAGACTCCAAATGTTTTCTTTTCTTTTTTTTTTTTTTTTTTAAAGGGAAAGGGTTTATTGGGGAACACCCTACAGACCGGAGTGAAGGAGCGGCGAAGGAAAAAGAGAGAAAGAGAATATAAGAGAGAAACAGAGAGGAGAGGAGCTAGCAAGGAGAGAAGATAGAGCAGAGCAGAGGAGAGAGGAGAGCAGAGCCAAGAAAGAAGAACCAGGAGCCAAGAGAGCAGGTGTTCAGGAACAGGCCCTTTTAAAACATTGCCTGAGGGCGGGCAGGGAAGCAGGAGCAGTGAATCCCATTAGGATGGGGGTGGAGCCTGGCTCAGGTAGCTAGGCCATGCAGCCACCTGGCTAAAACTGTGCCAGTTTCCTAACATTCCCCCCTTTTGTTTTTTATAAAGCAGGGTTTGTATGGGACTACACTAGTCCCAAAAGTCCAAGAGGGGTAGAGGGACAATGATCTGTCTTTAGAGCTACTTCCTGCTGACATGGGGCGATGATGTACTCTTCGTTGGCAAGGGGCAATGTCTCAGGCCGCTGTCTCCTGGGTGGGAAGCCGAGTACATCCCTGTAGCAACATTTGGTTGACCGCCTGGTTGCTTAAGGCCTTCGTTTGTTCCATTATAACCTACTGTAAACACTTAGACACTGTAGTATAAAAGACAGGGTGAGAATAGTAACCAATGATCCTAAGAGTAGCATTAACCAGGTAATGAGAGGATTTCAGAGAGGAAATGTGTGTGTGTGGGGGGGGGGGGGTCTCTGGACCCTTATGGGGACAGGATGTGCTTTCAGCTGATTCCAGCCAAGACTGGGAGAAAAGCCACTTAACTTTTGCAGGTAGTGGGGTTTGTCTGTAGAGAAATTTTGAACAATCATACAACATTAAATGGGGAAGAGGACCATCAGTACACACAGGTTGGGAGTAGAGCCATTGGTGGTAGAGTAGAGGCTATGGTTACAAAGGAATGAGGCTCAAGTGGGCTAGATACAGAGGACAGAGTTGTTAGAGAACCTAAGAGAGGTGCTGTCTAAGCTACAACTAAGTTTTCTGATTGAGAGGCAAATAGAACCTGACAGAAGGGGCTTGATAATAATCAGGTGGGCTTTAAAGCCTTGTAAATTATGAGGCTCAGACTCATCTATCTCTTCATATAGCCTACATCCTAATGGAGGTGTGAACCTCCTTGGGGAAGGCACCCTGTTGACTTAAATTACCCAGCTGGCCAGGTAAAGGCAGGTGGCTTCTCTAACAGGAAATTTACAGTTCTGCCTGCAATGTTGCTGACCCTGGTTGGCTGTCCCCTCAGCTGCAGTGGTCACTTTGGAAGCTGGGCTGAGTGAAGGGCTTTTCAGCTTAGAGCCATTGTGTCCAAATGTTTTCTAATGGCCTGCAAAAGCACCTGGTATGTATCAAGCAATTAGTAAACATTTGTTTAATAAATAGAGGATAATACCTAGACTATGGAACAGAAGTAAAAATGAGTGAGTCACCTTCACAGGGGCACTGTACACAATCCAACCAAACTTTTCTTTAGTAAGTGAAAGTATATATTGCATAATAAGATGTCATATTAAAAGAATACTTAGGGGCCGGCAGAGTGGTGCAGTGAGTTAAGCTAGCATTCTGGATGCTCTCATCCTGTATTAAGAGAGCTGCTTTGAGTTCCAGCTGTTCCACTTCTCATCCAGCTTCTTCCTGCAATGCACCTAGGGAGGCAGCAGATGATGGTTCAGATGTTTGGGCCTCTACCACCCAGACTGAGATCCAGGCTCTTGGTTTTGGACTGGCCCAGCCCTGGCTGTTGCAGGCATTTGGGAAGTGAACCAAACAATGGAAGATGGATTCATCAATCAATCTCTCTTATCTCTCTCCCTCTTGCAATTAAATGAAAATACTATAAAAACTTTAAAAAAAAAATACTTAACAAATAGCCTGGCAGTTACGACAACCAACACTTGGATGCTTGAGTCACACATCAGAACACATGGGTTCCATTCCTAGCAAATGTCCTTGGCCACCACTCTGTCCTAGAAGTCCTAAAACTAAAGAAAATTAAGTTGCACAAGTCATTCTATAGGTAATATCTACCAGAATGTTCATAATCCATTTCAAGAACCTAATTGCATCTAATCAATAAGAAATGTAGCATCACATTTTTAGGCTTAACCTTGATTTTGGTGAATCATCAAAACAGTTTTAAGCATCAGAAGTTTCTAAAGAAAAAAATTTCCATTGCATTTTTTTCCTTATCTGAAGTAACTTGTTTATGAAGTTACTTGTCTAATAAACTTGGGGAATGGTGAAAGTTCAGTGTTCAATTAATGAAACCCTTAGCTGGGAGGGTAGGGCAGTGGTGTGGTGCAGTGGGTTAGGCCCCTACTTGGGGCCCATCAGAGGGCCAGTTGGAGTCTCAGCTTCCTTTTTTCCCATGCAGCTTCCTGCTAATGTGCCTGGGAGGCATCAGATAAAGGCCAAGTATTTGGATTCTTGACACTCCATAGGAGATTCAGAGAGTTCCTGGCCCCTGGTTCAGCCTTGGTTGTTGCAGGCATTTTGAGAGTAAACTAGCAGATGGAAGATCTCTGTCTGCTTCTGTCCCTCTTTGTAACTCTACCTTTCAAATAAATAGAATTTCAAAAAATGAAAAAGAAAACACTTAGCTAACCTAAGTGTTTTAATCGCTGAAGGGATCAGAATAGAACTAATCTATTTATCATTTGTACTTTAAGTCATTATTAGTCTGGCCAATGAATAGAACTATAACTAAAATTCTAGGATAGAATATCAAGGATTTTCTCACTTTCTATGCAATCTTTTCAAACATTTCAACGTGTTTTTTTTTGGAGGTAGGGAGGACTCAGATTATAAATTTTTGAATGGCCTACCCTTTGAACACTCATTCCAATGTGTTACACCAATTTCTCTAAAACTTAACTTATTACATGCTACTACTTTCTGTTAAAATTACCTACCTAAATCCCTCTTATCCTTTGATCCAAATTTTGATTGCTCAATTGTAGTGCATCTTGTTCTGGTGTGCATATACTGTTTTTTTCCTGTTTTAAAAAAGTTCAAAAGAATTTAATGGTCATAGGATAAAGAATATTACTATAAGATTTCAAATGGGGCAAAGCCTTGCATTGTCACATCATGACAGAGGTTACCATGAACCAAAAACTTTGCAGATTTTCTCCTCTATTAAGTACATTTATTATATGCAGCACCTTGAATTCTGTCCTATTTCATTCATGTTTTTGATTGCAAAACTCTAACACAATTTTATTTCTAACTGAAGGCAGGAGGCACCCATTGAAAATCTGTAACAGCCGATCTCAACAGATCTAAGTAATAAAAAAAGTTGTCTAGATTTTTGCTAACTATACTACAAATGATTTGGACCTTTCCCAGGAATCCAACAGAATATTAACTGACAATATGGACTTTTACCAAGTAATATAAACAGAACAGATACACTATTTTTAAATTATTCTATAACATACACACTTTCCTTTAAATGGTTCCCTTTTCTCTAAAAAGTGAAACATGCACTAAAGTTATAATGATTGTCCTACTATTAACAATAATACATCTTCACTACTAAATAAAGGTTCATAAGCATAATTGTTCTTCTAATCAAGTGACATAATTTACTCTGGTTTCTAATATATAAGAGTATACATAAATGAAAATTTCACTACATGACTTCTAGAAGATACTAACCTAAAAACTAGGGGCCAGCACTGTGGCACAGCAGGTAAACCAACAACCTGTGGCACCAGCACCCCATGTGGGTGCCAGTTCCAGTCCTGGCTGCTCCACTTCCTATCTGGCTTCCTGCTAATGTGCCTGCTAGAGCAGAAGATGGCTCGAGTGCGTGGGCAGGGGCCCACATGCAAGACCCAGAAGCTCCTGGTCCCTGGCTTCAGATTTGCCCAGCTCTGGCTATTATGGCCATCTGAGGAATGAACCAAGGGATGGAAGATATCTCTGTCTCTGTGACTCTGCCTCTCAAATAAATAAATAAATCTTGAAAAAAAATTTTTTCTTGTCATAGAAAAAAATGAATTGTGTTTTCTTCAAATGGAGACAACTCTAAGCAGTTATATTCCAGCTTATATCAATAAGGAAAGATATTTATTTAGTATGAGATGTTTATTTCAAAATCCAGATGTTTTGTCAGCCTGCAACCAACAGATGACACACTTTAACTTAGCATGACCTTTTTTAATGCTGATCCTAGTTGTAAGAAACTTTGTACTTAAAAAAAAAGAAAACAAAGGGGAAAAAACAGACTGAAAGTAAAATCCTGCCAAATTTGCCAGAAAGTCAGCTATTTGAGAAAATACTCAAAAGGAATATTTACCTCTAGAACAACCCCTTTAGTAATGCCACTCTCCAATCATTCCATACTACTAGCCTTCAATTTTTAGAGGCCAGGATTTGAAAATATCTTCACTGGCAATTATTCTCTGTTTCCTTCTTACATGTGGGTTTTAACCACTCCTTCCAAGAACTAAAAATACACAAGACTTCATTTCTTCCCACTAATAATTGCAAAGTAATTTAAAGAGCCTTGTTTTAAATATCCGCTAAATGCATGACCTCTGCTACTACCCAGTCTTAAACCATGTAACACTACAATAGGAAACTAGTAAATTTAATTATTAATCATGACTGTTGCCTGTAGGCAACTATATACTTCTTAGCACTTCATAAAACATGGTAAGTACAAATATGTTAAATGGAAAACTACTGTTATCCTTTTAGCTATATTTTCCCCAATCTGCTACTAGCACAATCACCATACAAGCACATTAAATTTCTACAACAGCTTGCTTCTCAATAATCTAAAACCAACTTATGGACACACTAGCCCATTGAGAATCCTAACTGAACGAACAGAATACTTCATAAATAAAAAAACACAACAGCAAGCAATCATAAGTCAGTTGAGGTGAAATCAGATAATCCATTTCTCTATCTTTGATTTTAAAGGGAAAATAAAATTAGGGATACTATGCAAAAGACATACACAAAACACTTTTTTTTTTAATTATTATCTGCAATGAAACACAGGTCTTCTGAATTAGTTTGCCTGTTCCTTCAAGCCGTCTATTCAAATTCCTCTTTTTGTCCTCGACAACATTTGCACCATGCTAATCAAAAGTCTTCAACAGATGTTAATATTTAGCTTAAGCAATATTTTCTTACTCTAACAAAGCAAATGATAAATCTAATTTTGTTCACGACAGTCTTACAATCCTAACTTTCCCCTTTATACAAACAGAAAATTATCTCATGTCACAAAGTGTACTACCTGAACGAGTACTAGAGTTCGGATCTTTCTAAAATCCTTTTATCCTTTCAACTACAACACTCAAATTAGTAAATTTCCTGCTTGCTTTACTTTAACCAGTTTCCTTCAATCAAAATCAGCCTTTCCTTTTTGTCTTTTATTACCTCCAGATTATACCCTAAAGGAACCAGGGAAAGACAAGAGATGTTGCTCTCCAGCACTAGCTGCTCCTGCATTTATACCATTTCCCTTTTTTTCCAACTTCTTGAAAGATTCTCAACCTCATTCCCCGTCAAGGTTTTCAAAGTGCTTTTCTTGACACACACATTATCAAAAGTAATTCACAAAACAGTTTGGAACACAAATTATATTCAAGCAAATCAAAGCAACACAGTACTAACTAAAACACCCATTTGCCTGAATGCTGCAGAAATACTTATTCCAGAGACTACAGAAAACATCCTCCACTAATCAGTTCCTGAGCCAAATCTTTAAAACTAGAATAAATTAGGTGAGGGAGGGAAAGGTCAAAGAAGATTACAGATAGAAAGAAGAGTAAGTGAAACAAGGAGAGATTAAACAGAACTAGGTCTATCAGACTTCAAGCCATTAAGCATTTTCACAGTATAAAATTATATGAGTAAAACAGTGGGAAATTAAACTAGAAATATAGATGCAGTCAAGACCTTTGGACACCAAAAGCAAGCAGGCTTATCCTACATATGCAAAACTTCTTGCATCTTCTAGTAACTGCATGAGGTAGGAATAATCCACCTTTGGCTGACATAACATCATTTGTGAAACAAAAATATTAAGATTACCCTGAAAGTTGGAAGTGAAAATACTTTATAATTAAACAAACTATAATGAAAACCAATGAATACCTATAAATATTTAAGTGAATGAGCTCTTTCTGATTGTTTCCTAACTTTTGAAGGGGCCACAAACAAAATCAGAAATTTTCTGGAGAAATACATGCTAGTAATCAAATTTCTCAAATGCATGCATTAAAAATATCTAAACTTTATATAGAACAATTATTAAACCATAATATTACATAAAGATAATTTTAAATATTTTGAAAAAGCTGAGTGCTAATAAACATAGAACATTCTTATTATAAACAAAATATAGAATCCTGCATGAACTCTTCCATTTATCTCCAAAATACTGTTTCCAAGAGTATTTTGTTACATGGTAATATACCTTTTCCTCAAAATCTTTATATAGAAAGAGAAAGAAAATTTCATGCTAAAATTATGAGTAAATAGAAACAATAGTTTACGTTCAAAAGTAATACTTAGGCATCTACTAACACTTAAAACCCACAAAACAAATGACTGAATCCATTTAAAATACTAGATAGTTTTCATTTTATGACACATGTACCTGTTCCAAATTTCAAAGCAATGAATACTATCTGAAATGCTCTTTGAAAGAATATGTAACTTAAATAAAATCTTTTACTTCTAATCTGGGAAAAAACTATCTTGGAACAGGTAAAAATACATGCTCCTTCCAACTACACTAAAAGGAACCAAGGTTAAAGCAACCATATTTTTGTTTTTCACTTCTGTTAAGCAAAATTAATATATTACAAAGGAAAATTTTTCAGTACCTTTCTACTAAAATACTGAGAAAGAAATGAAAACTTACTTGTATCTGCTTGGCTTCCCACACTGATGTATCTGTCATTGCCAGGCAGTGCTGTTTGATAGTAAGTAGTCTCCTCCTGCTGAGGGGTCTTGGCATTCTTCGAAGTAAGGAAAGCCACTGCTAATTCCAAGTTTCCATTACTATCCTTCAAATACCAAGACAGGGGCATAAAATGTTTGGGAATAATTCTATACATTCTCATAAAATTTATCTCATTTGCTCCATAATAGCTAGTACACATAGCAAAAATAACTTTCTAGTTTAAAATATTCTATCTGATTCTAACTTTATATTATGAATTCACCAAACCTAAAATATACTATACTAACTCCTTTATTAACTAAAACTAATATAATTTTAAAATAAACTATTTTTTAATTTCACACAAAAGAGAATGCCCATTCAGTGATTCACTCCCCAAATGCCCATTACAGACCTAAACTGAGAGCTATGAATTCAATCTGAGTCTCCCAAACAGGTGGTAGGGGCCAAACAAGTTGAGTCAATACCTGTTGCCTTCCAAGGTATGTATTAGCAGGGAACTGGAATTGCGAGTGAAGCCAGGGCTTAAACCTAGGTATTCCAATATGGAATTCAGGTATCCCAAATGACTTTTTTATTTAAGACTTATTTATTTATTTGAAAGATTGAGTTACAGGAAGAGGGACAGACAGAGAGATCTTCCATCCACTGCTTCACTTCCCAAATGGCCTCAATAACCAGGCTGGGCCAGACCAAAGTCAGGAGCTTCTTCGGAGTCTCCCACATGGGTGCAGGGGCCCAAGCACTTGGGCCGTCCTTCGCTGGTTTCCTAGGCACATTAGCAGGAAGCTGGATAGGAAGTAGAGCAGCTGAGACTGGAACTAGCACCCATATGGCACGCCAGTGTCACAGGCGGCAGCTTTACCCTCTATGCCACAGCACCGGCTCCCCCACATGATACCTTAACTGCTAGGTCAAACATCTGCACTGAAATTATTCCCTTTAATGTGGGCACTGGACACATATCTAGGGGCAAACTTAACAAGCAAAATACAAAGGGCTCATAGGAAGAAAACAGCAAAATTTACTGAAGCTTGATAGTAAGAAGGAACACAGAACACCTTGTCAGAAATATTTAAGTGTCAAGATAACAATTGTAACTAAGTTAAATATATAAATTTTACATTGTTCTCACAAAAGCATACCTAGACAAGTTGATTCTCAAGTTCATTTAGAAGAGAGATGTCAGAATAACATGTAATAACACTAAATACAGTAAAACAATGAAGAGACTTGCCTGATTATATCTTTCTATAAAAGGAAAATTTAAAAACAAAAATGAAAAGCCTAACACTTACACAACTTAAGTCAAAGGAAATGTGAACAAATCTGTTTGATTCATGTTTCCCAAGCTAGGATATTCCCAGAATTTACTCTGTTGAAATGTTAGGGTGAAGACTCAACCTCAATGCTATACAATGAGAAAGCATTTTCTGAAAATAGATAATGCAATGATTTAGTCATGATATTTATCAGAATAAAGAGAGGATAAGCAATCATTTAAATGTCATGATCATAGAAAATGAGGCGCAACACCTCTGCTTCCTCTCCAAATAATTACAGCGGCTGCATTAAGCCCTGCACTGATGCTCTGAACAATACGCTCTCATCACTTTCCCGGTGGGAGAATAAGGTGAAGCAAAATTCTATCGAAGGAAGCAGAGATGGAGTCCCTGGGATCCCTAATGGTACTTCGGTTTCTATTCAAAGCTCCTCCACACAATGATGTGTGCAAGTTACTTCAATCTCACTGTTCCCTATTTCAAAGTAGGGAAGCGTGAAAAATACTTATCTCCTAGAGTTTAGAGGATTAGTTAGACACATAAATATTTAAAATAATGCCTGCTACTATTAAGTATTAATAAGTGTAGTTATTATTATGACTTTGATTATAACTATATAAAAGATAAATTTTTTGTAGAAATAAACAAAGAACCTCCAGCTCAGAATCCAGAATTATATAATTAACTTTGTCTCATAGAGTAAGGTCCAAAGTACTAGAATTGTGCATGACTATAGTGGTGAAAAGGTTTTATTCTTTTATTCTTTAGTAATAATAAACAAAATCATCTTAATACACAGTTCTACTTTTGGACATTTTTCACTGACTTGATCTCTTTCTTTTTAACGTGAATATCCATGTGAATTGACTGACCCAGGCGTCGATATGAAAAGGAAAGGCATAAAAGATACAATCAAAATGGTGCAATTGTTGCGTATTCTGAAGAATTTCAAGATGAATATGGCATAAGTTGAATAGAAGTCAATTATATTTCTCCTTCTAGGAGAAAAACATTTACGCTTTGGTCCTCTATTAATTTTCTACTTTTCCCTATTCCTTCACCTCTTCCTCTAACTCACACCATGTTGCACCACCTTTTAGTAAAATCATGGCTCCTGAGCAAAATCATTATCATGTTTAATATTCACACCCCACCATTTCATATAGGGAAAGGGTTTTTGTCACTCCCAGGTTCTTATGGAACATTAGATTGCTGAAAGCCAAGATGCTCAGTTACATCAAGTGAGGCTCTTTATCAAAATCTATTACTGTATCTGTACCACCACATGGCTTAACTAAAAAACCCAACTTTCAAATATGATACACAGTAGAGATAAGTGACTATCACAAATTGTACGTCATAGAAGAGAGGCCATACCTTCAAGGCTTGCTGTAGTATCTGAGTGTCATTAATCCCAGTAATTTCTCTCAGCTGATTCAGAAATGTCTGCTGATGCTACAGAAAGTGAAAACACAAAATCATTACACTCGGAACTCTGAAAATACACAAAGAAAAGAAAATAAATGTGAGAGGGGAACAAATAAAGTAAATCAGAGTCAAGGAGAAAAAACAAATTTCATTAAGAATAATATTGTTCTTTTAGGAAGAACAAAACATATTTTGGAGAGCTCTTATTCCATTCTCAGGTTTCCAAAAGGGAGTGCCTAAATTACCTCCTAAGGAGCACTACATTAGTTTCTGTGCCATTTTTCACACTGTCCCCATTTTATGCCTCACAACAGGAAGTGATCTGTATGACGGTTAATCCCAAGAAGACTTGGGCACCTGAGACACTTGAAAAAGACACACTTTGGCAGGCTAAGTAATAGGCAGGTGATACACCATGTAGAGCTCAAAATTTATTCAAGGAAAAGAAAGGATCATTCCATTCTTTAATCTAACCATCATAAAAGACCCTATGCTGAATGGAATATTTGTCCCCATTTGCCTCAGTTCTCTGTTGGTTGATATCATCTGTTACACTTCACTAGTTAGAAAAGGAAGAGGCAGCCGGTGCCGCGGCTCACTAGGCTAATCCTCCGCCTTGCGGCGCCGGCACATCGGGTTCTAGTACCGGTCGGGGCACCAGATTCTGTCCCGGTTGCCCTTCTTCCAGTCCAGCTCTCTGCTGTGGCCAGGGAGTGCAGTGAAGGATGGCCCAAGTGCTTGGGCCCTGCACCCCATGGGAGACCAGGAGAAGTACCTGGCTCCTGCCATCGGATCAGCGCAGTGCGCCGGCCGCAGCGCGCTGGCCACAGCGGCCATTGGAGGGTGAACCAACGGCAAAAGGAAGAGCTTTTTCTCTCTCTCTCTCTGTCCACTCTGCCTGTCAAAAAAAAAAAAAAGGAAAAAAAAGAAAAGGAAGAGGCGGCATAGGACTCCACCATCAAATCTTTCCTCAACCTTTCTGGAGTAAGAGCCATGTTCTTTCATTATACCTCTGTATTTCTTAAAGCAAGTTGCCAAAAACCATAAAATAGTACCGTGAAATAAAGAAAGTTCAATGGATATGTTAGGGAAAATAAGCTTAGTCACTTAAATTAGGATCTGCTGATCTTTCTATAAAATGGTTTGCATTTATCACTAATAATTCAGTCAGGGATCTGCAGTGGCTACTAAAACTACCAAGCAAAAGTTTTAATGAAAAACAGAACATAGTTTCAAACTTTCTCCCCACAAATTATAAAAGGATAAAGAATAACATTATAGCAAAAAACCTATCACAACCTTAATCAAAAGATTATCAAAAATCAGGCAAAATGAGTGTATGCCTCCTGATACAGTATAAACCGTGACCATCCTTTCACAAAAGCTTAACCTGAATGTATCCCTGAGGAAGCATCAGATAAATCCGAATTGTGGGACACTGCAAAATAATTTTTCTGTTATCTTCCAAAATTGTCTACATCATGAAAGAAGAAAAAATGTGTCTCCAGAGTAAAAGAGACTAGAGACTATCAAATGCAGCACAGGAAGGTGGACTGCATCTCATACTAAATGCTATGCAGGACACCATTGGAACAAGCAGAGAAATGCCAGTGTAAATATGCATGGTTAGTAAGGATACTGAATTAATATTACATTTCTGAATTTGCTAAACCTACAGTTGAATAAGACAGTATTTTCTTAGAAAATATATTTTAAATTATCTAAGTATTAAATATTAACATTTAAGAGGTAATGGGGCATGTTTACTCTTAGGTAATTCTGAAAAAATAAGTTAGGAAAGTTTTCTTACAACTTTAAATTTGAAATTAACTCAAAATAAAAGTGTTAACATGTTCTGCACTTCAAAATATGCATAACAATTTAAATATGCATAACATATACACAATCAGAAGTCCAAAGTCCTGGACAAACTACAAAACAAATAGAAGTTGGGGGGAAGAAATCTGAAAAGTTTAAAATAAAAAGTCCAAGCAGTTTTACAAAAATATGTATCAATTGGAAACTACAGTCAAGAACAGGTAAGAGTTCAATCTGTGTAACAGCTTCAGTATTCTGTGGTGTCTTGATTTTACCCTACAATACAAACTGCTGACAGTAGACAGTCCAGACAAAATAGACAGCCAACATAGTGTCTACAATCCACGTTCTTCCTATGTTGCCACTCCAAAATCCTTACATGTGCCATTTAACTAACTACATGTCTATCACTTCATGCTCTCCACCCTCCAAGCAGAAAAGCAAGGGCAAGTGACCATAGGCACCTGCAAATCAATCTGCCTTGTTTAAGGAGCCCCAACACCAGACCTCCACTTAAAGCTCCATGAGCAGAACAAAGCTGCATACCCACTCAGCTTCAGAGGTGGCTGGAAAATGAATTTATAAATGAGGGAAAAAGCTGCCACAAAAACAAAATTATAGAGTCCTGTTTAAAAACGAAGGTACACACAGATTGAGTATCTCCAGTCCAAAAATCTAAGAACTGAAATTCTCCAAAATCCGAACTTTGTGAGCACTGACATGATGACATAAGTGGAAAATCTCACACCTGATGGATGACAGTCAAAACTCAGGTTCACTAAAAATACTTTATAAAATTATATTTGGACAATATGAATAAGGTATATATGAAACAAAAATGAATTTGATTTACAATTGGGTCTCATCCATGAGTTATCTCCTAATGTATATGCAAATTATTTCAAAATCTGAAATCTGAAAAATGCTTGATGAAACCATTTCACAAAGGATACTCAGCCCTACAGGGATAGGCACTGTCAGTGTCTGTCACATAAAAGAGCTTTCATTTCCATAATGCTGAGATAACCATCACTATCTAACAATACATAATACAGTATCTAAGCAAGAAATATGCCAAGAAGTATCAACAGTTGTAGAAAAAACTGAGTTGTCAAATTTATAGGACTTAAATGAGAAAAATAAAATTCTCCTTAAATAAATCAATTTTTCTTTCATTTAGAAAATCACCAATAACTAGCAGTAGAATCATGACTAAGTTATATAATACCTAACATTACAAATTAAAAGACATACATGTCTGTCACTCTGCCTTTCAAATCAGTACATAAATAAATCTTTAACAAGTTTGTAATCTCATTACTACCAATATATGAAAGCCATTCTTTGCCTAAAGCAGTATTTCCCTCAACTGCAAATTATTAAATCCTGGATTAGGAAAAAAATGAATAGAATACCCAAAGCAAATTAGTCATTTGGACAAATAATAACTATTAGTTATGATGTTGGAAAAAATCAATACAAAGCAAACATCCTTACACTAAGGAAGTGATTGTCAAATTTTAATATGCACAAGAATAATCTGATGATTTTGTTTAATTATGAAGCTTTCTAGGCCCTACTCCCAAAGATTGCTGTCAAAGGGGTTCTGAGTTAAGGCCAGGTATTTTGATGCAGATGGACCTAGCAGTGCAGTTTGAGTTAGGCAAACAACCATCGTTTTAAAGCTGAATATATATATATATATGTATGTATGTATGTATGTATATAGGTTATCTTTACTAAATTATATTATTAAACAGAAGCAAGAATACAAAATAGTATATATCCCATTAATGATGGTAAGGTCAAAAGCAGACACAAATATAGGGCTCAAAAAGTTTACGGAGCCAATGCTAGACTCCCAGTATCCACCATTTGTCACTTTTTCACTTCCTCCCACTAGAGATACAATATACAGTCAATCATCTACATAGATGTTTTGGTCATTAATGGACCACATTTACTAAAACTGTAGTATCAGAAGATTATATAAAACTGAAAATTTTACCAAAACGTTGTAGGACAATGCATTCCCCCCATGCTTGTGGTGACACTGGTAAACAAGCCTGTGTATGTTGCTGATCATATAAAGGCACAGCACATACAACTACATACGCTGCATTAACATGTGATAATAAACAACTAAGTAATTGGTTTATAAATCTACTATACTCAGTATTATTTTACTGTTTATTCCTATGAAGGAAAAAATTTCACTACTATATGCTGTTACATGGCAACAACCTCATCGATCTTGTGTTTACTCCATCTCTTGATCACATCAAGAGGCCATAGGTTGGGGCTGATGTCATGGCACAGAAAGTTAAATTGCAGCTTGAGATAATAGCGTTTCATATCAGAATGCCAGTTCAAGTCCTGCTGCTCCACTTATAATCCAACTTCCTGCTAATGTGCCTGAGAAGGCATTGGAAAATGGCCCAAGTACTTAGGCCCCCGCCACTCATGTAAGACACCAGGACGGGGTCCCTGGCTCCCAGCTTCTGCCTAGCCCAGTCCTAGGTGTTGTGGCCATTTGGAAAGAGAACTAGCAAATCAAAGATCAATTGCTCTCCCTCTTTCATTCTGCCTTTCAAATAAATAAATCTTAACCAATAAAAAGAGGCCATGTAGAATGACTTATTACTTATTACCGTCTAGGTTCAGGTGAGTACATTCAAGATGTTTGTACAACGATTAAAGCAACTACTGACACATTCCTCAGACCATGTCCCTGTGGTTACGTGACACCCATCTGTGTTTCTCTGTGGCAATGATGACGGGCATTCCCAATTGCAAGTGAGTACTCATCTTGCCAGCTGACATAAAATATGCACACATGCGTGGGCGTGCCCTCATGATGTTCTGCATTCCCTTGAAAAACATGATCTGGGTAGGCCACGCTTCTCTAAAGAATGAGGCCCACATAGAGAAGAGCCACCCCAGCCAACCAGCTGACCTGTAAACAAGATGTTAGTATTTCAGTGTACCACTGAGTTATGAGGCGACTGATTTAGAGCGCAAGTCACCTGCATTAATACATAGTATTTTATGGAGAGAAGCAAGGTCTTTGAAATTTTCTTATGATTGATATTTATCATTCACTATAATGCCAGCCTAGGTATCCTAGAAAAAAAACCAGTTGTTACCTTCAGCACGGTTCACGTTTTCATAAATTATGACTGAAAATGAAACAGAGAAAAGGTTCAGAG